ATAGGTAGATAGACACATGTGTGGTGTAAACAACAAGTATATAGGTAGATAGACACAGGTGTGGTGTAAACAACAAGTATATAGGTAGATAGACACAGGTGTGGTGTAAACAACAAGTATATAGATAGATAGACACAGGCACAGTATAAACAACAAGTATACAAGTATATAGATACTGACACGGTGTAGACAACACGTATATAGATAGAGACAGACGTGGTGTAAAAATGGGTAGGCATAGACGAGGTACAGACACAGGCATAATCAGCAAGTAGGGGCCTATAGAAGGATAGACACAAATGAGGCATTAACAGTGGTTATAGGGTGGTAATTCATATAGCTAGCGACACTAACATATTACCAGTACATGCAGGGAGATAGGGTTAAAAACTCAAATTGTTGAGTGATTTCTAGAATTAGCTGAGTAGCGGTTGGGTAAGATTCTCCGCATAGTTTGTTCTGAGCATGAAAAATGGAGTTCTGTAGTAAACCCTATCTTAGCCCCCGGGCCCTCGCTGAATAATGCCTAACTAGTGCGCTCTCGTGCGTGCGTGCGTGCGTGTGTGTGTGCGTGCGTTCGTGCGTGTGAGTGAGTGAGTGTGTGTGTGTGTGTGTGTGTGTGTGTGTGTGTGTGTGTGTGTGCGTGTGCGTGTGCGTGTGCGTGTGCGTGCGCGTGCGCGTGTGTGTTGTGTGCGTGCGTGCTGGTATGTGTATGGTTTGGGGGTGGGGGTGCTCCTACACTTCAAGTCCTGCGTATGAGCTACAGTTGTGTTAGCTCTGTACCGGTGTAGCCGTTTCGCTCCCGCTACAGGGGGGCCATATTTGTCACACTAATACAAGACCTGCTACGTCACTCGCTGATCGTTGCCCTGTGACGCGGGGCGGTGGGCGTGGTTAGGGGCCAGTTATGTTTGGCCGACGCCCTGGGGGCTTCCTGGTGCGATACACAGGCTGCGACCTTTATTGTCGCACTATACACGCACGGCCCGCGTACGGAATACGTAACTTTGACTATTCTATCATTCACGGTGGCGTAGATATAGCGACCTGTTGTGTGATGTTTACTCACGAAAAACGTCCTCTCTCTCTCTCTCTCGCTCGCTGTGTGTCTCACTTGCGCTGTTTCCCACCCTCCATCTCTGTATGTCTTTCACTTTCTCTCTCTCTCTCTCTCTCT